GCAGGGCACAGCAGCCCGGCTTCTGTCTTCTCCTGGAGAACCAAATTACTGAGGCCGAGATTAACATGCTTTCAGACGGGCCCATTTCCAGACCAAGGGAAATTTTTTATTTACCTCTTTTTTTTTTCCTTTTTACCTTTATACCTTTAATTTCCTTTCTCTTTCTTTCTTTCTTTCTTCTTTCTTTCTTTCTTTCTTTCTTTCTATTGAACTGCATCAGTAGATTCAAGAATAGAAAATAAATAAATAAATCAATAAATGAATGAATGAATGAATAATTAAATAGATAAATGGAGGAAAAGCAGAGTTTCTCAGAAATGCCCCAGTATCTCTCTCCCAAGCAGCGATGAGAGGGGTGCCCTGGAGACTCAGAACCTTTGTGCCTACAGCTTGGCACTGTGCTGGGCAGACTTGCAGGTCTGCCTATCAGCATCTCAGAATTCAAGTTCGAACTTGTGACATACTTCCCTGATTAAGCAGTATAAATAATTAAAGTCAAATGGAGCATTCATCACAGCCAACCCTTTGGCTTTCTGGTCTAGTTTTTGCGCCTGAGCATTGTATTTTACTCAAATCTTTTCACTAAATGAAAAGAATTAAATAGATGGTGGGCGGGGAGAATTTGGAGGACTCAGAGGGGAGGAAAATTGGGTGACACATTTGTGTAGGAACGAGGGGGACATCTCCTGCGTCCTGAAGACATCCTTAGGGTTTTCTTATCTGTGTCTCACTTAAGCCTAGGTCTGCCCATGTCCCACATACTGGTGTACCATCGAAAAGGAAACATTGATTTTCTTTTAAAACACACATCAATATCCATAACAAAGCTAATTTAATTAGCAAGCAGTTATTGTTCAACCAAATGTCAATTTCTCAGATTATTTCATGCTTCCTGACATGAACTGTAGGAAGCAAGATTTCGTGGGCCGTCTGTGAATGAGACTGCACGTGAGGAACCCCAAACCCTGTATTTGCTCGGTGCTGGGAGGAGGGGGGAAGTCAAGCTTGGAGTTCCGTGGCTGCTTAGCCACCCCAAGAACCCAGAGCTGCGGAATTAAAGGGACTGTACTTAGGGCTATAGCTATAAAGTGCCTTCCTCTATAAACTCAAAACATAATGTCAGGGTGAATGTGAACCTACTTTATTAACTTTATGGTATTGAAAACTGCCAGCGAGTTGTCTTGTTTTTAAATACCGTCCTCTGCAGAGTGTTACAGGGTCGTTTGTCCACAGGAAGCCATTAAAGTGGACAGTGCAGTCATTTCATCTGGCTTTTGGTGGACTGCTTTTCTTTCTTTTAATGATGTGCTGGCATGTACCGTGCCCATAGGGTCTCCATTAACTGGACTCCTACTTCTGGGACAACCATGAAGTTTAAGGCTTAAAAGAGGCATCGGTTTACAGTCCTGTGGGGATCATTGGAATACTGGGGCACTAACTTATTACTGTTTTAACTAATACAGTAACTTATTTTAAATAAACAGTTCTGCAATGAAGGCAGAACCCATGGCCTTATTGGAAATCTTTGGGCTTTTGAAAGATTCTGCAGTCCCTGTAGCTGGGGAGGAAGGAAAAGCCTTGAGGAGGGCTTATACTTTTTCAAACAAGGAAGAAAACGCGTTAACCTCTCCCACCCCAGTCCTGCCGTCAACTAAAGTGGAGTCTTTATAACTCCTAGAAAATCTTCCCGCTCCTCCTCAGACCTCGTACTTTCCAGTGTCGTCTTCTTGGTAAACAACGATTAAGACAATAAAAAAGGGTGACGCCTCTCTCACTAAAGAGCGTTTTAAAAGTGTGATTCTTTAAGACCATTTCCCACGAGCTACTCTGCTTCTGCTCCCCCAAAGCCGCACGTTTGTTAAAACCGCCCCCTCATTCTATCCCCTCGATATTTAGATCATATGTCCTGATACATGCTTGCAAATTAAAGCTGGTTTGAGATTATAGTAAAACCATTATTTTTAATAGCCCATTGCAAGGGCAGTGCTAAACCCTGCAGAACACGCATGTTCCTGATTACTGCAGAGCAGAAGGCAGCGCTGGCAGCGGCTTAATTTGTACCTGGTAACTACTGTAGGCAGACTTCTCTAGAAATCCCCAGGAATAAAGGGTGGTGGCGGTGGTATGTGGCTCCTTGTATTTATTTATTGTTTTAGAAACCTCCGGACTGGAAGCAAGCTTATGGGAGAGAAAAGCAAGCTTCTTGCAAAACCCTGTCTCCCTACCCTTATCTGGGCCTGTGTTTCCTCTAAAATGGGGTAGATCTTCTAAGGAGTCATTATTGGAAGAGCAGCGTGCTAGCGTCCGGGGCTCGTCACTTATTGCGGAGTTGTGGATTTCTTTCTGTAAATTTCGTGATGTCAAGAAAGTGTAAGATGGCTAGCTTCCTGTGAAGCTATTATTCCTTTATAAGCGAAAGAAGAGGGCGATGATCATGAATCCACTGTTTTACTTTCTTTACCCAGATCCTTGTAATGGTGGCTTTTAATTCTTACAGTTTATTCAGTGTACGGAAGTGATAACAATGACAGCAATATTGATATCATTTAATATGAAACAAATATTCAGTCAATAGTGGTGATGCTAGAATGGATCCTCGCTGCCGCTAGACTTGTCTTGCCGCGTCCCAGGGAGAAAGTTAAGGTTGTGTTTGAAGAAGGAGCTCTCAGAGTTGGGAACATTCTCCGCTCAGGCAGTGTCGCAAGGTACCTGTAACCTGGAGGGTGAGACTAGCTAGCTGGAGCCTGGTGGGTTCACCTGGGTTCCTGAGGCCGCAGACACCATGCTTTATTTCGGGATACATCGCCACCTACCGGCCTCCTGCCGTACCTGCAAGGATCCCGTCCAGACTTGTCGCCCCACCTCCCTTACCAGAAGCTAATACGGGGGGGGGGGGGGGGGGAGGCGGGGGGGGATCCTTGCAGGTACGGCGGGTGGCCGGGAGGGGGCGATGTAACCCGAAATAAAGCATGGTGTCTGCGGCCACAGGAACCCAGGTGA